CGGCTGAGGGCTGTAGACCCCAAATCTTGCAAGAAAAAAGGTCCAAAACCCTACAGACACCAAACCCTCAAACCCTGATAGTAACGCTATACAACTCTTTTCGGTATCCCTATCGTCTCTATAGTAACCCGTTCAGCAAACCCTGTTTTAACCCTGATAGTTGCAGTAGCCACAGAAGGGTTTAAGCTTTACAGGTTAAGGACTCTGCGCCGAGGACGAGGCCTTTCCTTCCAGCAGAACAGAGATCAACGCCCGGGTATGATTTCCAGTACCTGCTTCGAGCTCCATGGGTGAAAAGTGGGGTTCCCTTAAAGGTTCTAAACGGTTTGGGGCGTACGTGTAGGGTTTAAGGTTACTGGTAGTTATAAGTAGGGTTCTACCTCCCCTTTCTGGTTAGGTCTTTTTATCCTACTTTTAACACCACTTAAAACTATCAATACCTCCAAATGACCACAACCACAATAGCAGAAGCAATGCTGGTAACATACGAAGAAGGCTAAGAGCAGAACTGGTCGAAAAATGGGACACATAGAATGACAAGAACAACTTTTGCTTCCACAGCAGAACATCAATGCCAGTCGTATCCTCGTTGTAGTTGGCGTTGTCATGCCTACGGTTGCTGTCATTCTGAATTGGCGGAACTTCTGTAGGTAGTGGAACCCTGCTATGACAAGATTCAAGATGGGTGAGACAAAGGGTGTAAGCAATCCGGGACCCACCCCTTCGGAAGGCATTAACAGTGCTGTACAGCCCTCTTTGTTTAATGGGAGGGGCCGAACTTTGGTCGTTGGACCAACTCGCCCCAAAGGCGACCAACGTCAACAACCATGGTGCTGGCATTAACATCTCATTCAAGTGTCTTTTGCATCTAAGGCACTACAGCGGCGGCCGCGCTGTTGCTACCCCTACCCCTACTGCTATCCTGCTGCCGCTACTCATATTCGGCTATTAGAAACGCGACGAGAACGACGCTCAAGACCATGACATGACAAACAACAACAGCAAACAAGCACTCATAGTGCCATAATGTTATCTTCACTGATGCACTGATCATCGTAGGAGTAATGATGTTTGCACAAGATCCTCTCGCATATCACCAATCAATCAAGTTTACGTTTCTGCGACGAGGCCGACTATACCTTTAAATGCCCAGCAGGCTGTACGCATGACTGCATAACTCAAAACATAAAGAAGCTTCCATTAGCCAGGATACGCTGATGGAAACGACGACCTTGGACTGCGAGTCATCCGAGTCCCCGAAAGGCTTCATGTAGTCACCTAGCCAGAATAAGGCTTTGGGTCCTTGGGCTTAACGGCTTTAGGGTGGCCTTAAGGGTTGAGGGATGTTTAGGGTCTATAACGGTTCATAGCTTAACGTTCCGCGCGCTCTCTGGACGAGAGCTGTCCGTGGTGGTCTGACTTGGGGGTGCCAACGACAGCCACGGACGAAGTTATGTCATACTGGGGATCTGCTTAAAATTGCCAACAGCCCTTGAGCATTTCGTTGTTGAATTGGCCAGGGCTGCGAGATTTGTACGTTTGGCCTGGCGAGTGTGGCCTAGGGTCTATAGCTTTACGTCGCTTAGTTTCGCGTTTCGGTTCAGGTTTGAAGGGCTTTGTAGTTTGGTTCAGCTAAGCGAACAGACTATGATTTTCGCTCGAACCCACCGAATTCCCTGCTGAGGTCCCCTGACAGCAAATGAGTGGCGGGGCGGCGGTGAGGGGGGGATCTTAAAAGGCCCCTGCCTTCACGATGTTGGCATCCTAAAGCCCTTAGAAAATAAATAGATCTGGGCATAGTGCACAAAACATTATACATTTAAGTAGGAGCACGCAGCGCGCTACATCACCAGGATTAACGTTTCGTTTGTTGTAAATGCCTTTCGGTGGTGGAGGACGCGGAGTACTAGAGGGTGCATTTTAGGTGGCCTGGCCAGTGGAGGAATTAACACGCTGCTTCAACAATAAACTATTTCTTTGTTCAGACGGAACAGTGTGCAACCTCCAGGCCCCAAGAATTTAGCTCTTTGAAGAGTCTACAGTAAGGAGAGACGGGCTGGGTAAGTGTACCTACGTAGAACTTTCGGATGCAACGAACTTTGGCCCTGCCAGAGTGTAAGTCTAGCAAGGAACTCTTCAGGAATTGCATTACTAATTATTCAATCTTCTTAATCAACAACTCCCAAACCACCAGGCCCAAAAGCGTTCCGTCCCTTGAGGCTCTTAAGCCTTAATTTCCTAGACCCCAACCCCCCTAAATCCCGAAACCTTTTACAACCCAACCCCCAAACCCGAAAATCCCAAAGCCCCTCAACATGCCCAGCGGCCGAGGTAGCGCCGACCGAGGCAAACCTGCTCAATGAGCTTGGCGGCTTAAGGTTTTCGGGTTACGTAGTATGGGTAGTTCTCTAAGTTAGGGTTCCCATTGTTGGATACTTTTTGCAAGCGTGCCGTACGATATGCGGGACCCAAACGGGACCCTAATTCAAAGAACTACCCACATAAGATTAAGTGAGGCTTACGTCTTGGAGTTTAAGAATAATATATGAGATAGGGTTTAGGGCCGGCCTGACGTTTTAAGGCAAGGCTGTTAGCGCCTGGGGCGTTGAGGGTCCATGGGCCTGTCCAATGACCTGAAGGTTTAGTAATTTAGGATTTGGGGGTTTAGGGTTTAGGTCTAGGGAAGTTTAGTACTGGTTTAGAGTTCAGGGTGCTTCCGATGAAAGTCAACACAACGTGACTACGTCATGTCTCAAAGGGCCCTGAAAACTCATATGGGGGGGATACTTACTCAAACCCCCCGATAGCAATTCCCATTATAGAACCCCATGTAGGCACTTAGGACCCTTAAGTAAGCCCAAAAACCCTAAATGGCTTCTGGATTTCATTTGTCCCGCCAGCTCTTGCACCGAAAGCTAAGACACAAAACCCAAGGGATGCAAAAATCATGAGGCTTAGGGCTTCCATTTTGGGGCTATGAAGGAATTATGAGACTGAAGTTGTGGGGAAGTTCCCTACTTCCCGGACCAAAACCCTATAACGTTTCAAGGCTTTGAAGTTGTGGAGATAACTCGAACACTCTAGGCGCGGCATCCTTAGGGTTTAGTCCCAAACCTAACAGAGCCGACACGATTGGATTGAACATACATCTTCCAGCTGGAGTAGGGTTAGGGTTTAGGGTTTAGGGTTTAGGGTTTAGGGTTTAGGGTTTAGGTCCGACGTGTTGCTGCAACCTAGTTTCTAGACACGATACTTCACAATCATGCCGGCCAGTATGCTGACAGGTGTCCCACCGCCCCAGATGCCCCGCCCGGAAGCCACACAGCACTATGTGAATCGGGTTGTTTTAGGGTTGCAGGTGCACCCACCACGACAGCCTGTGGAGAAAAGGCCCAGATAGATCCCAAAGCAGCATGGCCCCCACTACTGTAAGTGCCACCCAGGAACGAACAAACACCTGCCCCAACTCAGAACTCAGACGTCCCGAAAGTGGAAAGCCTCAACATAAATAATTTGAAGCCCAAAGCATACAAACCCCCAGCCCTGCTGCTTCTATGAGTATGGAGCCAATCTCAAGCCCCAATATCCTGGGTTTCTGTCAAGGAACCTAAACTCAGATAAGGAAACCGTATTATCCACCATATATCTCCATTACGGCAACCCTCTATAAACCCTAAACCCTAAATTAAGTTCATTAGAACAGCAACCCAAAAACACGATATGGGTACTTTTCTAAATTAAGGTCCCTTTTGGGAGTCCTATTTTTTTATAAGCAGGCCGTACTATATTGGGGGACCTAAACACCGGACCCGACGGTTGATGATATAAACCCTACATTACCCTTAATAAATACAGAATATACAATAATTCCCATAGTTTAGGATCCTCCTGGTAATGCAGGATGTAAACCCTAAACCCCAACAAAAACCTTTCTATCTTATAAGGGAACCCCATAGGCCCTAAACTCCACGATTTAGATCACACCCTAAACCCTAAAACCCAAAATACCCTATGAATCGTTTATCAAACGCTAAACCTAAAGCCTAAACCCGTAATGCAGGATTTAGATCATCAGCAAAACCTAAAAACCTAAACCCAAAACCCTAAATCAGTAGTTTAGAGAACTACCCATATCCTCGGGGCGGCCTTGGGTCCGGTGGAGCGGCCATTTATTGCAAACTCAAACCTGGCAGGGTTTACGGTTTAGGGTTCCTTTAGGGATTTAGGCTTCAGAGATTAGAGGTTTAGGGTTCCTGTAGGGATTTAGGGTTTATGGTTAAGTTACGGATTTTAGGTTTCGGTGCTCAGACTAGGACTTTGGGGGGGTAGCTATAAAATGGGGCTTATAAGTAGGGTAACCACAGCTATCAGCCATATTTTTGGACTTACAACTTAATTTCAAGCCCACTTTTAACTACCTATGAACCTCCAAGTCGGGTAGCTTGGCTAATACAGCTTGAGACCTCTGATAGGGTCTCGGGCTTTGGGCACAGTGGTCCGCCACGAGAAGTGTTCATGCGACAGTAGAGGGCACTTGGGGGGTCGATGGTCTAAGGTGGCATCTTTGTCGGTTGAGGGAAGCTGGATGGACTTTAGGCAAAAGCGGGCCGACCACTCATTACAGAACATGGTACGGCCGACCAATCAGAACAGGGTATCAAAATTTCGTGTGGGTTCTCCACAACTCGGACAAGGCTCTTTGAGTGATTGAACACATGTTCTTCAGTCATTTGACGCTTGTTGGAGTAAGGAGCAAGGTTTAGAGCAACAGCCCCAAATTCCAAATCGCCAACCTGGACACTCAGCAGCTCGAATGCCGCGACCAATCTATTTGCCCCAAGAACACCGCTCCTCAAACCCAAAGTCGTTGAACGCCGTGCGCGCTTTCCATCCCATTCTGCTGAACGAAGCCTATGCCCGTAGGGTCCTCTAGACTCTAAGCCCTGAACCTTCAATCTCAAAAACACCAAAACAGCTTTAAGTGCGTTCGCCCGAGCAGCTTGATACCCGGGCAATCGGGGCTTCTGGACAAGGCCACAGAACAGTGACCCGGTTCCGCCTCTCCTCTAAAGTAAGGACTGGCAGGGTTTAGGGTTTGGGACGATTTGCAGAAGGGTTTCTAGCGGCTGTATCAGGTTCGAAAAAAAATGTTGACAAGTATTTCCAAAGGTACTTATATGGGGCTTTTGATAAGAAGACCCCCTCCCTTAACCCCAAAACTTACCAGTCAGAGCACCATGCATGGGTCCGCTATGCTCAGCGACTCACTTAAAGGCTTTTGCTTGCAGCGCAAACGGAGAGCCCGTCAGCTCTCGGGATTTCCAAGGGTTCCGGTTTGGTTACCCTTGGGCTCTAAGGCCTCATATTCCTAAGGCTTAGGCTTTTGGGCCCAAAGACCATACTCTATAAGGCTTTTGGGCTATTTTGAGCCTCAGGGTTACGGTTTCGGAATGAAGATCTGAGGAAGGCGCAAACCCTACACAGTGGGGAGGGCTCTGCCCCGCTTGTTGACCCAATAAGGGTGACTATAATAAGGGTTACTATAGGGGTGGTTAGGTTACGGAGCCATAACACAACTTCCTGGTTTGATTGCAGTCTTCAGGAAAGAAACTGCATGGGTGCGCCTGCTGATCAAGCTCTGTCACTCTGAGGTCCCTCATGATGGGGGGGGGTTCTTGTTCAGTATCCGAGGTTCTACATCGGTGTCCCTCGACTATCAGAAAGAAGCACCCCATTTGGGAGACACTGCTGGAGTCTGAGCACAGACTCGCAGTGGAACGGATGTTGCAATGGTATGGTCTGAAGATCCAAGGTCGTGTGGTCCTTACCTTTCGTCCTCCCCGACTGCTTGCAGGAACCCAAACACTAAGCAAGACCTCAACTAGTCTACTTACAGCTGATGTGTCGTGCATTTGCCAAGTCAAGCTTCCACATGCTCTTTTGCAGCTGTGTTCATCAACGCAGTACAGTAAGGAAGCAGGGGATCTGAAGTAAGCCTGAATTTTCTCTTCAGCTCATTCTGGCTGACTCGCACAAGCCTTTGAATTGCAATCGCCAGACTATCGCGTAGCAGGCACGCCCACGTGAAGGTCTCACCAAGACACAGCTACCTCAATATTTAGAATAAGGTTTTGCGGCATACTATACTGCAACTACAATAAGGATGCCTAGGGACTGAGAGTATTCATGACTATCCAGGCTTCTGTAATTCTATATTATTGATCCGAAACCTGGGTGAGGAAGGGATGATCCCAAAGCCCTTTCTGCAAGGCGAATGTCGGCTGCCGTTGGGATAGAAGGAGAGCTGCATGCGCGCATCCTGCCGCTGGGCTTATAATCTTAACTCCAAGCTGAGGGGGGGATGTTGCAGGCATGAACCCTATAAAACTCTGAACCTTAAACCCATGAAAACCCTAAAGCCTAAGCCCTAAAGCTCTAAACCCTAAACCCATGAAGCTCAGCTTGAGGACTTTCTGGCCATCCGGTGCGGAGATGCAACCCCGTATTCATCTTGCACCAACTGCACCGTCCTAATTCTCATGGGTGTAACTTTGGTGACAGGCAAAGGAACATAATTACATCAGATGATACCACAGGGATCCTGCAGGATCATTCTAACGGAAAGACCGCCTTCAGCTTGGGAATTGAGAGCCCGAGCTTTGAAGACAGCTCGCAGTCACTGTCTGAAGAGAGCCCGCCTGGATGCTGAAGGTGGGAGACATGACGCAAGAGTCCTCCCAAGCAAATACTGAGCACTGACTGTTGCCGCATGTGCACTGGCAAAATGCAAGCAAATTAAGGCTCACACTCTCTCACACACACGCACCCACGCACAAGCAGAGAAAAATCCTCGTTGTCTTGTAGGTGCCTTCCAAGATCAAATCCAGCAAAACGCACTGACGTTGCTCTCGCGGCGAAGCATAATGACTGGCACCTTCTGCTCTGGTCACTGGGAGTCTCCAAGCTCAAAACTCCTCAACCCATGGCACTAAGCCCCAAATTCTCTAAACAGCCGCGACTTCCTGAACTGCGTTCTTACCCTATAAAAAAGGGGGCAGAGCCCTCATAAAGCCCGTAAATGATTTTCCGTACTCATCTCGAATAAAGCACTATGAAAACCCCTTAAGCCTTATAATCCTCGTGGAACTCCGTAACTACCCTGGAACCTAAGCCCCCTAGGCTTCCCCTTTGAAGGAACCCTACGACCCCCCCAAAAAGAGCCCTTATAGATCCCTTAAAGGATACCCCCTAAACCCCTGCCAGAGTCCTTGGGAAACTCGCTGAGCTCCTTCCAGAACTTATTCACCGTCCAGGAGAAGCGGCCACCATCCACTTCAGCATCGGCGCCTTGGAGGTCGATTTAGGTTTGGGGTTTAGGGTTTGGGGCTTAAGGTTTCGGGTTTATTACGGTTTGATGGCTTTATTTTCCGGTAGGGGTTAGGGTGCTTCGGGTTCAAGGTTTATAGAGCTTCTAGGGGCTATGGGTCTTAGGGTTCGGATGGTTTAGTGAAATCGAAGTGCTTTGGTACAAGCACCCAGTGCTTGGAGGGTTAAGTTGTGCCGGCATGGTTTTTTGGATCCCTTTGTTGCCTTTGGAGGGGTTTAGGTGTAGCTTGCAGGAGGAGGTTGTGGGCGTTGGTCTTTACTGCTTAGGTTTAGGGCCAGACTCTAGCCTTGGCGTAGGGCTCAGGGTTTGGGGTTCAGGCCGCAAGTTGTTTTGGGGGGTTCTTTCCCTCCTACTTAGAGAAGGAAGCAAGTTTAGGGTTTAGGGTTTAGAGATCAAGCAGGTGAAGGAAGCCAAACATGAGAAGGACGCACAGGCCTCTTACACGTAGCGGAAGCTTGTCCTATTCTCTGCAACTCTCCTGGGAGCTGTTGCTTCCTTCCTTAGATCACACAGAGAGAAGTTCAAGAGAAAACCCCAACCCTAAACCGATGATGACGCCAAGATTTGATTCAAACTAGGAGAGGCCATCCATCCTAACCCAAGAAACTCTGCCAGAAACTTCTGCTCCGGAAGGAAATCTTAATGGCATCTTGCCACCGAAACTCCGGATCAGGAGCAGAACTCATCCTCCAAACCCTATAAGCCCAAAAGCCATTCGTTTTGCCGGCCTGTTCTCCGCCCTTCGAAATTCCAAACCGGGACCCAGAATCCAACTCTTCAGCCCAACCTTTCAACCCCTCACACCCGGATCGTAAGCCTCAAAAGCAGTAATGAGCACTAGCAGCTGAAGGGAGCAACAGCAACAATGCCAGCAACCAGCACATGACATGGCGAAGCTGTGGTCTTGCATGACTGAACAATGGAATGTCATGGTATTCCAGCCGACACGGCTGAGTTACCAGTGCACGCGGGTTCTTAAATCCACAGAAGAACCATGAATTTGCGTTGTAAATACCTTGTCACTTGTTATAAGTGTGACTACGAATGCACTGATCAAGCGGCGAATTGCCAATGTGTCGACGTGGCGACGGGACCAAGCCTATGGTAGCATATACACACACGCACATGAAGCCTGCAAACTTACAGGCTACAATCCTAAACACCTAAACCCGGCAATGATAAATTTTCTACATCTCCTAGGCCTACGCCCCAGCCCTCCGAAACCTAAAAACAGTCCGGCGGCCCTCTTCGACCAGCTGAAGATCGATGGACGTCGACATAGGTTGAGGCTCCTGAGCCAAAATTCTCCAAAGAAGCCCGAAAAGGAATTCCAAGGAGGAACCCTTGAAGAGAACTCCTCAAAGGAGGCTTGAAGCAGAATCCTTCAAGGAAGCCCCTTTGTTATAGGCCATCCTTTAAGGAACCCCCACAGGCTCCTGATCCGCCGGTGGCCCCAAATCCGGAAGGTAGATGCCCTGGCTTTGGAGGTTTTCTTTTTTTAAATATGTTGTTGAACTCCCCATCTGCTTTTTGCGAATGCATCCTCGTCCGAAGTTTTGGGTGGTTCGGAGTTTATAGGGCTTTAGGTCGTCCGAAGTTTTGGGTGGTTCGGAGTTTATAGGGTTTTAGGATATTTTGGGGTTTGGTGGTTTAAGGTTCAGGGTGATGGGGGGCTTTGAGCGGTTTCCAGCAAAAAAATCCTAAAACTCCAACGTGCTAGGGCTCCTATATAGCGCTTCTGATGTTTTCAAGAATTCCGAAACAATGGTTTTAAGGGGTTTAGGGGTTTAGTGGTGTATTTCCTAGACCCTTCAATGTAGTACCTTTCTTGGATGACCTATCTTAGGGTTGCGGCCCTACCATAGGAAACTAAGGTGACCCAAGTAAGGGTACTACAGGTAAAGGTTTTTAGTAGGGGTTGGGTTTAAGCAGTGGCGTCTGTGCTTCCTCGGGGATACCCTAAACCCTAAAGCCCTAAACCCTGGCATTTGGGCTCTATGCCTCTATGCGGCTCCTACAGTCAAGGCTGTGGAGGCTTCTTTTCGGGAGCCATGTGATTACAGACCCCTCATAGAACACTTGCTTGCGCAGTACTAGAATGTATGAAAATACCAGGATAATGTGCTGCAATGTAAGTTACTCAAATATAAACAGACTATACGGACATGTACCATAGACTGATAATATGCGCTACAGTAGGATGACCCTATCGCACTAAGTCGCTCTGTACAAAGCTTTGGAGCTGCATACTTCTGAACAAAGCAGCGACAACGACGACGAAAGCTCCTGCTCATGATGATGATGATGGTGATGATTATTTTGATGATGGTGAGGTGACATTCGCGCGGCCAACAGCGCTCCTCGCATAACTGCGGGCCAAGCTGTCGCTGAGACGTTGTCATGACCCAAAACCCTTTCCGGCCTGGAGTAGCGGTGAAGCAACAGGCCTTCGCAGTCGATTCGGCAAGGCGGCTGGGGCGAAATTCTGGTTGCAAGAAAGTTCAGAACTCCCTTGTGATGAAGGTGGTTGGTTGCATTAATTCTCAAGAGTATTGTCTTTCTCCTGCCGCTCAACGCGCCTAAGAGGCTTCAATCCTTGGGCCCTAGGCCAAGAAATTTGATTGGTGCAACGCCTCCCTGCCAGGGAAGCTTCAGCCTAAGATAAGCATCTTCCTATGACTTTGTGGCAGACACGGTTCTAGTGCAGCACCACGCTGAAAATGGAAATGAGCCAGCGGCTTGTGTTTCAATCCCTCCGTCGCTCTCTAGTATAAACATGTGTATGTTTTATGTATATATACTTACGTATCTATTTATGTACTGATGGTCGTCGGAAGCCTACCAAGGAGAACCAGCCCATTCATGTAACACGGGGACACGCATTGCCCAGAGCCAAGGCAACGGCCGAATCATGGGAGAAGGCGTCGGGGTCCTGCCCCAGCCTGCGAGAGACAGAGAGAGAGAGAGAGAGAGAGCACTTTATTGGTCCTTCCAAGGGTACGATAAGGGCACTTTGCAGGGCAGCATTGGGGGAGTGCTTCCAAAAGGCTTCGAACCCTGTTAGGCCGGTAGTATGCTTCTCTCAGCAGAAGCATGCATTGTCATAGTTACAAGTGGTAGTGGTGGCGGTGTAAGCGCTGTTGGCTGTCGTGGTGGTGCTGGTAGAGGTAGTATCAGGTAGCAATAGCAGCAGCTGCAGTAGTCGTCATCGTTATCCTCCTGATCGCAAACGCAAGCTCTCTTTGTCGTAGCCGTGGCAGTAGCGGTAGCAGTAGTAATGACAGGAGGAGCAGGAGTCGGAGAAGGAGCCTTAACTGAAGCAGTCGCATTCGCAGTCGCAGCAGCAGCAGCACAAGCAGGAGCAGGAGCAGCAACAGCAGCAGGAGCAGTAGCAGTGGTCAGTAGCAGTAACAGTAGCAGTGGTAGTAGCAGTATGAGGAGCACTGAGAGAAGCAGCAGTAGTGGTAACAGCGGTATTGCTGGTAGCCTTAATGGTAGTGTGTAGCAGCCTGGTAGAACAAAAAAACGGCAGCAGCGGTAGCATCGGCAGTAGAGGTAGCCGGCGCACAGGGTACAGCAACCGCCCACAAACCAACACGGCGAAACGGCATGGTCTTAGAGTCTTAGCTAGTTAGTTTTGCAGGCACTTGGTTACAGAAAGATCCGCAGCCCTGCTAGCGTCCTAAGAATGCCAGTTGCAGCGTGTCAGTCGATGCCTCCGGGTCCCACGGCAGGCGAAACCACTGGAGTGGCCTGCATTGCATGCAAAAGCATCAGCCATCGACAAGCAATCCAAAACACCTAAGGCTGAGCCCGAAGTCCCGAAGGCCTGAAAACACGATATTATCCTAAACTTGAAGTGTCTCTTCGTCCAAATCTATCCGATAGAAAAAGGGCCTTCGGCGATGCCCATGCCCGGTGCCGGGAGCGGCCCGACGTGGAAGGACCTTCTGTTGCTGACGGTTCTGGCGGCTCTGGCGTCTTAGGGTCTGAAAGTTTTGGGTGTGGGGACTTTTATGACGGTTCAGCTTAAGCTTTAGGGTTTATGGTGTCGAAATGCTTGAAAGCTAGAAGGTGCTATAAATTTTTGAGTACACATACCACAGCAAGCAATGGTCAATGGTGTACTTTGGCAACCATGACAGTAGTAGTTCGAGCAGCGCTTTATAATTCTGAACCCATAAAGCCTAAGGCCTAAACCACTAGCCTGTGTAGAACCCCTCTATACAATTCTTACATACCGCCCAGATAAACACGATTTACAGAGCCAGATCAACTTCAAAAGAGCCAGAAATGGGCCTTAACAATCAGAAAATGGCTTTGGGATATATGTTTCACTACAATCAAAATAAGAAACCTACAATACTTGTGTCAGGGCTCTGTTTTGAGGACACCCAAATCAAATCTGAGTACTGGCCAAGCTCACTCCCTTGTTGGGTTTCAGGGGCTCGGGTTGTGGGCTCAAGCTGTAGTATGCGCTTAGGGCTTGCAGGGTTCTACATGCTGACGCGCGCGATAAGTGGCTGCGCCCCTCTTTGAAAGCAAAAGGCGCGCACCCACCGCGGGCACACTTTTAACACACCCTAAATCCTAAAGTCTAAAACCTTAAACATTCTCACTTAGGGTTTAGGGTTTGTGGTAGAGGGAATAACCTCGCCTGGCTTGTCCGAGTGCGAGCCCCCGACACCGTATGATTTTGGATACAGGTTCTGGTTTCTGGGTTCAGGATGTGGCCTTCTGAAATTTACGAGGTCTAAAAAAACTGGCACTTTTCCAAGGGCTCGCGAGGTTCCCCTCTGTTGCTTCGAGGCATTACGATTGAATGGTGCGGAACATGAAGTCCTAAAGCAAGCACTTGTAAGCCAGACGGAATTCTGGATTTTGAGGCATGCAGATGGCATGTCTGTTGATGGCATCGGCCCAGCTAAGGACCCCCAACCCCCCCCCCCCCCCCC